ATTACATTAGATCTATGTGGGGGTGTATCATTATTTCCTATTTAATCAATTATGATCACGAATGTGTTGATTTATTTGGCACAGAAGTCTCTTCGTGTAATTTATTTCGTTCGAAGCAACCGTGAATTTGCCATTGGCGCCAATGGGACCTGGCCAAACGATTAATTGTCATTGCCACGGTATCAGGATCCCAAGCGTAAGTTCACATGGTGTTATATCTTCACCCACAGTAACCAAATTTTGCGGGTTTCATTGAGACCAAATACTCCTGTTGTACCTTAATGCAAAGGATGAATAAAAATTTATATAAGCTTCGTCTTTGTCCGTAACATGGCTCCTATTACAGGTTACTGAAGGTTCATTAGCTGCTGACGGTACAGATGCTTTCGACCGCGTCAAGACAATCATCCTTCACGCAAGGTTTTACCTCCGTGAAAATAGCATGGAAGAAAAGCTCTCTAGTGAGAATCTGGTGTACGGATGTGACTGAGCAGGCACTTTAAATCTTTTCTGTCCCCAGAACTTTTAGACTAACGATATGTGCGTGTATACATTCGTTAATGGCATCGGTAAATAGGATAAAAGCTATGTGCGTTCAAGTAAGTACGACAAAACGTATAAACTTCAGCGCCTACAGTTATTTTCCAAGATCTCATTTGACAAAACTTCGAGCGGGACCGCTTTTTATTCACGTGTGACATGGAGAAACTGCGAACTGTGATACTGATGTCTTCTGACCTTTTCCCAGATCTCCATTCGGTCAGGGTATGAAGTGTAATAAGAGTAATTAGGAAGCAATATTTGGCGGAAATTCAATGCGGGCAGTTATTAGATTTCAGAGTAGGCAGGCAGTAGGCAATGACCTTGCCTTGGCTAAACAGGATCCGTATTCCTGTTGATGCCTGGTCTTCTATATATATATATATATATATATATATATATATATATATAGACTATTAAGATTTATGGTATTAGCTCAGCAACTAGTCCGGAATGTAATGAAGTTCGGTATGTTTATAAGTTTTTCTCTGGCTTCCTTCAAACTCTTAAAAAGATGATCGAGGATATGACTATCAGAGTTATAATGACAAGCTAATATTAGCCGTTACCTTTTGAACTTTCTAATTATTCGACGTTGTCGACTAGTTTATGGAATACACTGGAGCTATGGGAATGTACGCTTGAGAGTTATAGAATATGTTAAACTTCTACGCCACGCGACACGAGTATGTACGTGATAAAAACAAGTTTATAACAACCGTAGCACAAATTGTTTCATTTTTCTAAACTGCGTGCTACAGTACATCGTCTTAAATTTTGGTCGATTCGGATGAGTAGTGTTGTATTTGAAGCATTATCACAAGAACCTTGCTCTGAGCTACGATTGCAGGCTGTCATTTTAAGTTTAAGGTCTTTTATTTATTGTCTATTGAATGTTGAATTCCCTAAAAAAAACAATATTTTTTTCGAACTTTGTAGCGGTTGTTAGGACGTTTTCGGATATAGGAGGTCGTCGTCTAATGAGGTCATTTGAGTCCAGGTGGTGTCAATGATTAACTTCAATACTTCCTTTAACGTTCATAAACTTTGCAACAAGCATTCGTAATAGTTGCATAAATGTATTTAACTAGAACTAATTCGGAATCGTTGTCATCGAAAACACTAAGAGCTAAACTTGGCCTGTACTGGAATTGTATGTTAGCTGTTCGTGTTGAGTAAACGGTGCGCTGCTGAAAAATGTAGCAGTGTTTCTATTTACGCTTGACCTACTCCAACAATTACATTAGATTAGAGTTTAAGTACGACGTGTAACAGCAGTAAATCATAGGTGCTGGTCACCAGGTGTATACATTAGTTACAAATTCGTTTATGGGCTACTTCAAACGATTACGTTATCATTGATTTGGTAGCTTAAGCAGTTAACTTGAATCGCATCGACCTTATATAATGCTGTTCTGGACACGTTTATTTAGAAAATATCAAACAGCAGTATCAGATGCTGGAAGTTGTTTAGCAATCATGCAGCACGTGTTTATTGCTAGCGCTAACGTTCGCAGCATTATTTGATGATTGATTGGCTTTATCACATGTAGCAAAGTTTCGTCTTGATTGAACGTGAAGTGTAGGCATTACACGTATAGGTCGAGCTGTATATGCGGGACCAAAATGAATGGTCCTCGGACCATTCCGGGAGGGTTCAGAGGCTTAGCTGCTGAAAGTACAGGTTCGAAGAGCTAGCGGTTAGCGCTGAATTTTCCTCAATCGAACATTGCTAATTATTGTATTGTACTTAAAGAATAATAGGTACGCCTCTTAATTGATTGCTGGTTATATACATTTGTATTAATAGTTGGGCAGCGAATGTATGTTGCCCTAGTAGGACATACGTGGTACTATGTTATTGCAGGAAAATTATCATAGCAACGTGAGTTACTGTGCATTTGGCGGCTAGCTCAATTCAGCTACGTTGCTAAAAGTCCTGTTTAAAACACGGTGCGTAATGTGCCGACTGCGGGTACCAAAGTTGGTTGCCACTGGCGGCGTGTTCAATTGTCGACTTCAATTTACACGGAAACGGTCAGTGATGAACCCCGCCTAAGTGCGGTTTGTGCCAAAAGAAAAACGTATTATTAGCTTCAACAGTTAAAAATTTAGAAAAAAAAACATTGGTTCGACTCTGACTTTGATAATAATAAACCGATCTGGGTATCACATTTGGAAACATTTCGGATTGGGTTTGAATATGGCCGAAATAAGTGCTCCTTTACAGGAGTGCTAGTGCATGTAAAAGATCGCAAAAAAACGCAAGCACGAATTTGAAGAGTTGTCTAGTTGACTTCATTGCTCATGAACAATACACGCATATAATTGTATTTACTATGAAGAAATTGTGCAAAAATAATGCAGTGTTCTCAGTAGCTGCACTGCAGTAGCTACACTCAGCGCGTTGAACTAGACATACATATAGTCGCTCGGCAAAAAAGTATCTGTTGAAGAAAACGCAGGTATTGGTAGTACCAAAACGAAAAATTTATTAGTCTTGATTGTAATGAATTGTTGTATTAAAATACACATAGTCTGAGTAGCATAGATTTGATAACATAAAAGCCATTCACAAAAAAAATAACTCGTTTAGTGCAGCTTTAGCCTATTCATTGAGGTGGCGTATGACGCAATGCGGGATATTTAGGACCTTAGAATTCCATAGGGTTCTAATCCATAACAGACGTGATCTTGCATTTGCGAATCTATCGACAATATTAATCCTAATAATAGTATTAAACTTACTATTTTACTATTAACTTTCTTAACTAGCTTGCTTATCTTTTAAGGTAATGCCTTACAGTACCTTCCCTCTTTACTTTGCTGTTTTTGACATTTATAAAGACACTCTGTTATTCGTCCTAGATACATAACTGAACAACGGCTGCTCTACTAGTCAGAGCTAGCCAATGACAAAGTAGACGTACCGTCAGAAAATAATCGAAATAGCATTGCTTCTAGAGCACGAGGTCGCTCTATCTGTATTGCACCCCTCACCCTCGCTATTCTGGCAAAACATCGGTGTGACGTTCTTTCCTCCGCAAAGCGCGTAAACGAGAATCTTGTGCTCTATTGTATCCGAGTATATTCGGACCACGAGTCGTTTTGCAGTGGTAACACCAAGAGAGTATTTTATTGAAATACGCCGCTGTTAAAAGTACGCCGTTAGCGGCTACGCTAAACGTAATATTAAATCATATGAACTGGATCAGGTAATATGAGGTCGGCGGGTGCACGCTATAACAAAGGTGGTTTACGGTGCTGGCCCTACGGCATACTCAATAAGGAATGCCCTATAACACCGGCCAACTCACAAGGCTGGCTCATACTATGTCGGGGCATTACTTCCGTCGTTGCTTTTTATTTCCTTAAATATTCATGGTTTTCTTTTTTGGTCCGTTTTAGCTGACTTTGTGTGCGGCCCCTGAATGGGACTGCGCGGTTAAGGCTTCGAGTTGCTGGTTCTAAAATGTATTCTCAATACCTTGAGGCCACAACTGTCCTTCTAAACGATGTTGCTCAACTGCTGCCGCGCTACGCTACGTGCCCGTCACGTAGAGTCACCGTTTTTAGTTTTGTCGTTGTGATTGTCGCTGTTGTCGATTGCCTTCAGAGTCCGATGAATAGATAACCAAAAGTGGTTACGGGCGATAGATGGACACGGTGTCGCGAGTCGCGGCTCTTACTGAAGGCGCGCAAAGACAAAAACACATAGATAGAGACGAGTACTTGTGTGTGGGCGACCCTTTCGGCAGCATGAGCTTTTCCCTAGAAAAGCTACTGCTTTTCGATGAGCCATGCTTGTGACGCCTTTGTATATAACTCTTATCTCTATACACATGCCTTTCGTACATTCGACTACGGAGCAGCTCCCTCGTTGTACTTCGCTATTTTGCTTTCTTTGAAAAGACGCAAGCAAAAGATAGATAGTTCGATAAAAAACCATCTGCTTGACCGATACTTTATGTAATGATGAGCTTCGGTTTGGCGTATGTTAGATAGATTATGATAAAGTAATAGATAGGATATAGCTAACACACGGATCGAAAGGCATGTAATCATCACGGCATTGTTTCAATCGTCAACATCACAAGCCTTGATTCCTTGTTATTAAACATGAAACGTTTTCGATATATGTTTTGTTTCGCCCAATAACATTCAACAGGTAGTCGAAGAACTAGAGAACGTCACCTGACTTTTATATCTAGTATGATTTTATAGCGACTACATATCGATTATCATACACGAGGGTCGTAGCTTATTCAATGGTTAAGCTATTTTGAACATTGAAAAACCTATGTAAAGCATTGTAACGAAGTCGATAGTATGCTAGCGGCGCTACTTGCTCTGTAGCAGCGGTCATCTGTTACGGGGTTTGCTGATTAGGTGCGCATAACGTCAACTAAATGAATTCGTGCGTTTGTCTGTTTTCATTCGAATATTGGTGTCGGTTACAGGCGGCTTTCCCCCCGAGGCTAACTACCTCTTCCTTGGTGATTACGTTGACCGGGGCAAGCAGTCACTAGAGACGATTTGTCTTCTGCTCGCCTACAAGATCAAATACCCTGAGAACTTTTTCCTACTTCGCGGTAATCATGAATGTGCTTCCATCAACAGAATCTATGGCTTCTACGATGAGTGCAAACGCAGGTTAGTTCTATTATTATCGATGCTACTATAATGCGTATAGCTACCACGATATCTGAACCGTGGCATTCATCACCTTTTAGCTCTGCCAAGTATCTCTTATGTCGCTGGGTTTTAAAATAAATAGGCGAAACAGACCCACGCGAAACACATCCTACTAACCTGATATGCAGCAAACTTTTTGTGGCTTAGGATGGTAAACTTGCCAATTCATAATTTTTTTTATAAATACTAACATTTAACTTGACGATTAATCATTGATCTCTGTATCGTGTTAATATTAAGTTCCTATCAGATAGGGAAACTGTGAAAACGTATTGAGTAAGTTCATACGTTAGTTTACTCGTTAGTTTACTTTGCCTTCGTCGCCTATTAATATCAAAGCCGAAATAATATGGACCTTTATCATTCAACTGAACGTCCGATGGATATTCCATTTACTAATTTAACACCTTTTGTTGAAAGATTTTTTAGTGTAGCTTGGTTGTCATAACGTTATCTCAGTGAAAACAATCCCTGATGGCCATTCCTTTCAGATACAACATCAAGTTGTGGAAAACGTTCACGGACTGTTTCAACTGCTTACCAATAGCGGCTATCGTGGACGAAAAGATTTTCTGTTGCCATGGTGGATTGTCACCCGATTTGCAGAACATGGAACAGATTCGACGCATCATGAGACCAACTGACGTCCCTGATACCGGTCTCCTTTGCGATCTTTTATGGTTCGTTGGCTAAATTCTAAATTGACCCCGTGGACAGTAATACAGTCGGTGACACCTTATTGTGTTTTTTATTAAGCTTACTATTATTAGTGTTTTCGACGCGTCCTAGAGAGGTAACACGTGAAAAACGACCATCCGATCCCCACGATGGTGCAATAATTACGTGCTTGTCTGCTAACAGGAAAGGCGCAGAGATGGACTGGATTTGAATCATAGACACGCTTTGATGCTCTAGAAAATTTCCAAGGAGAAGAAGTGCAATAAATGTAGTAAAACTCTTCCAAACTGCTCATATTGAACCTGTTTGTGCCATAGCAGGTCCTTGAAGCAATGCTCAACAGCGGTACCAAGATCTCCTATGGAAAAAGCTGAAAAAACGGGCAGGCCATTTATCCTTAGTATAATTCCCCGAGCAGTTACCGCTTCTGAGTGAAACTTACTAGTTAATTTTTCTTGCGGGCAATAGCTTAGTCGATCACACCACTCACTGAGAGCGCATCTGTGACCAAATGGACCAATCCGATTGTTTGAATTAGTTTTATAAGTATATTGCTTTCACCTCTAATTGGTGGTTAACTGCCATTTTATATTTCTGTTTGCGCATCACAGGTCTGATCCAGATAAAGATGTACAAGGGTGGGGTGAGAATGACCGTGGCGTTTCATTCACGTTCGGCGCTGACGTCGTTTCTAAGTTCCTGTCGCGTCATGACCTTGACCTCGTCTGTCGAGCCCACCAAGTCGTCGAAGATGGTTATGAGTTCTTCGCCAAGAGACAGCTCGTCACACTCTTTTCGGCACCAAATTATTGCGGCGAATTCGACAATGCCGGCGGTATGATGAGCGTCGACGAGACACTGATGTGCTCGTTCCAGATCCTCAAACCATCGGAAAAGAAAGCCAAATATCAGTATCAAGGTTTAAACTCTGGCCGGCCCGTAACGCCATCAAGGGGACCGGTCAAGAAGAAGTGAACCCCAGCAGCATAAAAAGAGGCAAAACTGAAGGATTACATAGAGAGAAGAGGGACAAAGAGAGTGAAAAGCCTGAAGAAAAAGGATGATCGGAAGAAGTAGACCGACAATTTCATTAACTTGTTAGCTGCTGACCGATCAACGTCGACGTTGGCCGTAAACATTAACAAAAATTACGGTCCTGGAGCGGGAGGAGCGAAGGATTGCGAAATAGGAAATTTAACTGCGGAACAAAGGCTGAAATGGAATTCAAACACGAAGCGAGAGTAAAGGTGGATGAATACTGAAATTGTGAAAGACTCAGAACAGATACGCGCCGACTGATCTGAACTATTGTTATTATATTAAAAACAATATTATTATTATTATTAGAACCATATATATTATTCTTATTGCTGAGCATTAAGCAATCGAGCGACACTCCGTTTGCTCTTGTCTCCTGAAGGAGACTCGCATCTCCTGAACTAGTAGAATAAAGGGTCACACGTAGATTATGCAGACCATGTAAGGAAAGTGGCCCTGTTGTAAACGATATGAGCATGCTGAGGGCTCTGAGTTTCGAATTCGAGACTTTTCGGGCCGGGCCTAGTTTTCCATTGGTCTATAGTGCTCCCGTCAGCCGACCTGAGGCAAAGCGTTACTGGGTAAAGTGGGGGCTGAAAAATGTGCAAGCGTGAGATGATTGTAGCGAAGCTTGACGACGACAAGCTAGGGATGAATGTATGTTGCTGTATATAATAATATTAATGATAATAATAATAACAAGAATAATTATCTAATATAACACATGAATGGACTAATCTCGCGGCACCGTCCTTACCACTACAACGTCATCACTACCGCACCACCCACGACTGGGTCGCAGCATCAACACTGGCAACAAAATGTTATCAGCCCGGGATATTGTCTCGTGAAGCCGAGGGCGAAAGGAGCTGCAGATTGGGAAATCGCGTCGTCAAGTCCAGCTGGCTCGATTCGACATGGCCACCTGCTGGCGGTCACGTAATAGCTGAAAACAGCTGCATGTAATAAGAAAAAAACTGTAAAATAGAAATGCGACGCGATGTTTAATGCAATCACTATGACAATTTTGGCAAACGTTAAGACTGGCGAAGCGAGCCCATATTTTGGTGGGGTCGCTAAGCGATTTTGATGTCAGACAACGAGTCCGCACACCCAATCGTCTTCCGATCGCCTGAGCCGTGTTAATTGAATTCAACGTTTCTGTGGCTCTCAATTGTTATGTGACACTCGGCTGTTCCTAATATATAAACGTATATCAAAACTGACAGACAGAGCGATTAGGAGGGAGAGAGAAAATGTTACGTCAGTTACACGATCTTATTGGAAGGGTCTGTAGTCAGCATTTTCTGTCACCGCCATTATAACCAATTTACTGCTTTTTTTATTTGACTGATGATTACCTTTCGATTCACCTTTTAATTGTACTGATTTGTTTATTACTATAACAACGGGACGTGTATCATCATCATGTAATTCCCGGTCACATATATATATATATACATATATATATATAAAAGACGCGATGATACGGTAGAGTAGATAAAAAGATATTTATGAGAATGGACGTAGTATAGAGATCCGTTTCGGCTAGTGATGGCAATTTGCGTCGGATTTATTCGTGAGAATTGTCGGTATGCGCGCCGGCATCGGCAAAGTGACAGAAACGACTTGATGATCGTAGTGATTGAAATGAGTGATTTTTCTTGGAGACTAACTTACCCGGTAGTACTAGCCGTTAACTGGAAGACGTAACTAGCCTGGTGGTCTTCAATGACCGCTTAGGGGATGAGGTGCTTGTTGTTCACGTTGTCTAGGCTACTTCTCCGTTCGATATGTGTTGAATGGCTCAGATGCCAGATCAATAGGCAATGGCTAATTGTACATGACTTCATGCACATTGATAAATATGCTGCTTAGTTGAGCTAGATAAAACATACAGAAAGAGCGAGCGGATCATACTGTATGAATCAGTGTTCTGGTGTTATTGAGTTGACTGGACGTACATAGGTGTGCTATATGTTTCATTCGGGTAGAGGCTGTGGGGTATAGAAGAATGCTAGGATGCATCCGACACTTCACTTCTGCTAAAAAACTCAAAATCACAGATCTTCACTCACCATAATGTCAAAAAAAGTACCACTGCATTTTCTCAGCATATTGCCAGTCCTTAATTGAAGGAAAATTTTGTGTTAACATTTTCGGGCTCACCGAACCGTTCAGAGGGTACTTGGCGCATGCTAGCGCGGCGTATCAGTATAAAAGCAAAGGCAGCAAAGAAATGGAAATCTCTGTGGATGACAAAGGTGATGGAAAAAAATCAATGCATTTTTGTATGTGATTAATCATAGAAACATGGCTTATCAACTTGTCGCCCGTACCATATTCATGACGAACAATGAACTATTGCGACAGGTTGATTTAGGTCATCCATTTCATGATATGTATTCTATTCTTAATAAAAATTGTCGGAATGCAAATCATATCAACTTCAGATTTCTCTTACATCAAAACCGAACCTATCTCCGTAAATAATGATATTATAGGGGGATCGTTTAAACCGAATGGACCGGATCTGGCGATGCGTTGACTATTACCACTTGTATAGTAGATACGAACCTGATCGGTGCTCAGTTTAGGAAAATTGAAACAGTCGAATTATCTTAATTTTTACTGCTTGCCACGCCATGTAATGAATAAATTAAAACCCTCAAAAGTGGTTGTAAATATCTTCGTTATTTATTTGTTGAACGGCGTGTAGATAGATATACACGGTTTCGTGAAAGGTCCAACGATTGTATTACTATCTTTATGCAACGTATGTACAACTATTACGATTGCGAACCGGAGTAAGTATAACCTAAATGTTCTGTCTGTGGATTCGAAACATCATCTTCATCACAACTCTTATCTTCCGGATTGCTTACTTGCCGCAATTGTACATGAAGATTTGTTGGTTACTGTGTGTATGAAATATCTAGAGTGCATGGTTGACGTAAAGGAGACACTAAAGTAGCAATACATCACCATTGATTCGTTTCATCGATCTAATAAATCGATATGTATGTACGAAGTTAAGTGAGCCTGATTTGCTGAAGAATCAAACCTATAACTGTGTTTGAAACGATCGAGAATAGAATACACCGCTGAACATGATCTAACGCATTTAAAACCAATTTCGACTACAACCTAAGATTAAACAAGGCTAATTAACGATTCGCCATTCATCTTACGTTGGAATAATCCGATTTTAGTTATCGCCGCCGCAATGGGAAGCAAACTGCGGAGACCATTACGGGAAATGTTCAGCGGTTTAAGCAACTATCGGGAGAATACATCCACTAAAATGGGCCTGACGGCACGGCTTAAGAATAAGCAATAAGGCTGACAACTTTATCATAGCAGCCATATTAATGTTGTTCTGCCTTCAAGACTTTTCCCCTATAACAATTAATATAATCATATTCCAGGTAGCTGTTTTATTAGGAAATTATTTGCATATGTCCCACTCATGATTTTCCTCGGCTGCAGCCGACAAGTGTAGTGCGTTTATTTTTTGATTGGATAAAAATAATTCTATATTGCTAGTTACGTATGAATATCAAAAATCTCTAGTAAGATACGTATATGGTAAAACAGTACGTTTAACACGTGGGAAAAAAACAGCGTGAAGGCAAGTGGCAAAATAGTTAGCATCAATCTGATCAGAAAAAACAATATTGTCACATCTTGCCTCTGATTAGAGAGACATGATGGGCATCAGTGATGGGAGAACTGATTGGCTAATATTGTAGTGCCACTTTGACAAGCTCAAACGAGAAAGAATAAATTGTGCAGCTGAAAGATTAGGTTGGTGACGTCAACGGTTCCCCAAAGAAAAATTACGTACGTACAATAGGTACAAACATATACACATGAGTTACATATATATGAAAAAAACGTGAGGCAGAATGGTTAGGAGCGGGAGGGGAGAGTCTGATAGTGGATCTATCGACATGCAAAAAACAAATACAAACCCAAGTACACACAATCTAAATCAGCTCTCAGCAAGCAAGCACAGTTGAACGGAAAGAGAAAGATAAGAACACTAAAATACAGAAGACGACAAAGTTAGAATAGTGGATAAAATAGGATAGCGGATGAAAGATGAGTCGAGCAAGTAAAACAAAGTGTTGTCTAAAATGAATGAAGTGGATAGAGACATCGGAACCGAAGAAGAATAAATCAAATAACAGACAGATGCATACGATGCTAGCTAATACAGCATATGAACGTTAATCCAACGGGAAATAACGTTTATAAATAAATACTATTATTACTTATATCATACTACAATATATAACTGTTGGGCAGAGGAAGTCATCTTGAGAGGACGATAACATGAGTCAAGAGAAAGAAATCACCATTGCGCACGCTGAAAACAAAGCTAACATTTACGAAACGGTACCGTTTGTAATGCGCAACCCACAGTTAGTGCGAGCTGCACACGCGTCGGAGCGGAGAAGACAAAATGAACGGTAGTTTTAAATTGATTTTATCTTATTGTATGAATGTACCTATAAATTGTTTTAAACAAATTGTGGAGAAGAGGCAGAACATTTCACTCATGACTTTAGCGAAGCAGAAACGCAGGCGAGTACCCTGGACGAATAATTTGCAGAGTACTGGTATTTTATTTATTATTAAACCATATATATATATATATATATATATATATATATATATATATATATATATAAAACAAACACTAGCTAAAATTAGCGGTATGGACTAAGAGGGCGGTACCGAAGGTGAAAAAGCGAGAAATTAGATTAATAATAATATAGTAATTATAAGAGAAGAATTAAATATTACGCATATGTAGGCACGTAAACTTGCGTCCGCCATAATAACAACATAATAATAACGATAGAAGCCACAAAAAAACTATCTGCCAAGTAAACATGTCCGGTGTCACAAAAGCAAATATGGAGGTGAGGAGACAAAAAAAAGGTAAAATAAACTACATGTTGTATTGTTACACGACCTAGTGTTTTTTGTTTCACATACGAATGCTTATTAGATTATCGCAATCAAACACGAAATCGCCCGGGTGGCTGTTGACTCAGTTAGGCGGAAATATTAAAAAATGAATTTGTTTTATCCAAAGATTTACTGTTTTGTAAAAATATACTAAGAGTTTATAATAATAAAAATTATAATTAGTTGTTCTTCGTTTTGACCAATATGTGTCTTGTCATGGTACAGCTGTTAAGAAATTTCGGCGAACAAGCAAGATCGCAAGTATACTTGTCATTTAGGTACACGGATATTCCGTTTATTTTATATTTTATTTTTTCTTATTATTTTCAACGACTTACACCATTTCACACGAGTCTGAATGGAACCAAAATGAGAATACATTTTATTGAAGATACGAATTAATATTACATTAACTTCCCAATCTATCTAAAGCCCATGCAGGTTCTACCTAATACAAGGTCATCAAACAGATTTCTTGTATTCAGTATTCGTCTAACAGGAGAATCCTAATTCTCAATCAAACTGCTAACATAGAAAAATAAGATTTACTAACGTGCTAAATTTATTAATACCAGAAGAATCGAAAAAAAGATGTTATTACTAATGCGACCGCTAGATTAGCGGTATTTAAGTAACCCTTCTATATTTAGCAATGGGCGAATATCAAAATAGCAGTATTATTGAGTCGACATACAAGCACTGCAATTGACGAATGCATTGAATTTCTTAGTCCGACGGTAATTTCAGTGTAATCAGCGTCCCGGTGACTGTGAATAATAACAATAGTAAATACATTTGCATTAATGATTAGCGAGCATGACTGTTTCGGGTTAGCTAATCAATTATAAATTTTAGGTAATTTTGCTATTGTTATTAAAGATTAGCTACCGCTCGCATTGCCTTCACCCATCCTTCGCATAGCCGGAACTCCTGAGCACTTAAAAACTAACAGGTGCTTGTCTGAAATACTCTTAAGGGCGAAGTTTCAAGTACTATGAGAGTAGTTAGTGAGGAAAAGTAAGACTGCACTAAGGAAGTTTCGGTAGGTATAATATCGGATCGATATGACTAGTATTTCCCTCCGCTGCAAGCTGATCTATTTGTTGCTAGGAGGCCTATTTAAATGGAGCATAAAGTAAGAGCAAAACTATAAAATTAAAACCAACGTTATACACGGAACAAACTATACTCGTATTAGTTTCAAACTGCCTTTTCACTCTTATCTATCACTACATGACCATAAGTGTCTATCTCAAATGTACCAACCACACCAACCCCGCGATCTCTCGTCGTGAGAAAGCCTTTCGCTCAAATTTAGATCGATGCGTTCATTCGATCAAAACAATCGGCGCTAGCGACCTACTGCGGCTTGCCGTTTGCAATTACACTACTATTATTATTGTTTTTATTATGACCCACAGTCAGCTGAGGCGGCAGGAAACAGCGAACATGGCGACCACACGCAGTGGGTGAGCGAGTGGAACGACTGCTTTGCAGCCGTTGGGAAAGAGAGTTATCAGCCGACAACCAACAGGGACTAGCTGTTTAAAAGTGTAGGTCCAAATAGAAGTTTTAAAATCTATCTAAAATCTAAACACAAGCTCCGACTGCGTGTGGGCTGTAAACACCGAGTGCGCAGCCGTATTGTGTTCGATAAAGCTCCCCTGCGCCCCTGGCGCTCGGTGCGCGCCGAAATCTGGATACACCTTACTGTTCGATCACACCAGGTGGGGGAGGGGGGTAAGAGGGGTCATCATATTCATTACAGCCTTTGGATACGTACGCTGTTGTCATGTGTCTGTTGATAACTTTAATCGGCTGCCCGTGATTCGTTTAGCACACGATACAAGAAGCCGTGTAGTTGTAAGACAGGCTTGTTATTGATGAATCTGTTTGCATATCAACTTATGTTTTCGCAAACTCAGAGTGAAGTTTTACGTGCATACGTTTTCGTGTAGAATTATCAGTATATCACATATAATGTGTGAGAATTTGATTCACTAGTCGAAACTATCAAAATATTGAAGCAATGCCATTTGAAGCGGATGAACGCTCCTTGGCCCAGGATCGGGAGTTGATTCATAGGTTGGCTCAGAAGTCAGATGAGCTTCTCTCAAGGCTGGCAGAAGTGACACCTTCACTCGAACAGCTCACGACCGAAACTGCTAAAGTAAATCTGATATTTCGAAATGTGATAGGGGATTTAAATGCTTTGTCGGAGAAGCGTTTCGTCGAGAATCGGGTTGAAGCAGTTCACGAGAGGAAGATACCGCCAGAGCCAAAGGGCCCGCGGCCAGCTACTGCGGAAGAACTACGCGAGGCTGTTCAAGAGGGCCTCCAATCATTTGGATTACTTCCAGCTGGCGAGCTTACCGACATGGAGACCGGTTACGAGTGCTTCCAAAGAGAGCGACCATTCTCATTAGTGATCGGCACCCCACGGTGGCTAGAAGAGGATCCCCTTGGTAGAGCGGAAGTACCTGAAACGTCAGGTACATTTGAGGAATCACTGTTGTCAGAGGCTATTGAAGATCTGATATCACCAATTTCACTACCGTACGAGATCGAAAAGGCAGCTGATGCGGCGGAGTGGTTTGACCGTAGCCGCCAGGGAAGGACTTCGAGCATCAGTACGCCGAGTAAGTAAGAACAGCAGTAACAACAGTTGTATGTAAATACCAGGATATAACGCTGGCCGCGGTGCTAGATGAATTATTGATCAACGTGACCAACAGCGTGTTCAGGTAGTGGCATTTACAGGCTGCATTTTTGGAAAGCAGTACAAGCCAGGTTTCCAGAAACTGTGTACCGAAAGCAAAATGAATATTAAGCGAGACCTTATTCATATCAGTCTTCACTGATTGTTCAGTAGCCGCTTAGACTGAGAAGTAGAATTCTATGTAAACGTAAATCTTTTGTTTAGATTATACTATATTATACATATATATATATATATATATATATAAACAATAGCTAAATTACATGTTAGTTTAGCCTGCAGGTTATTTGATTTGCAAGGAAAGATGCCTTTGCATTATACGAATGGTGGTTCGCTTTTTCTCAATTATTATTTGCTTTCAATTATTTTTGTTAACTAAAAATGTTGGTTTTATATTTGAGAAGCCACCTTTGCCGAGGACTCTAGCAGTCTATCATCGGTGTTCGACTTCCCACAGCGAAGTAGCGTGCCGACCATTTTACCTCAGCCAGGAAATTCGAAAGACACTGCTTCACCTGGAGGCCCCTTTGACGACGAAAGTGAAAACGATGGAGATTTGTTTGGTACCGTTCAGAAGCCATCCTTGACATATTGCGAAGTGAGTCAACAAAAGAAATCGGCTCGACAAGCGACAAAGGTCACATCACTTTTGGACAAGCAAGAGCCATTAGAAGCCGCCTCGATAGTATCTGCACAGTCATTTCTTAGTGAACTAAAATTTAAGACAACGCAAAGGACGAAGCAGTCAACCGACGCCGAAGAAGAACAACGTAGGAGCATCAAACATACCTCAGAAAAATCTCAGCCTACGGCTTTTGCGCAAGTTTCCGATGATCGAAAGAGAGATGTCTCCAATGAAATCACCCGAGATCACAACCAGGGCACAACCGCACCACCAACATTGTTCAGGAATTGCGAAGCGACAACGAAAACTGCATTGGCACAAAAGCGTCCCTCAATATTCGACAGTGATTCGGACTCTGACCTTTTGGCCCCGGTAGCGCCACCACCGAGTTCGCTGAACCTTAGCAAAACCACTGCAGTGGAAAATCCACTTTCCCAAACAAAGAACAAGTCTAACTTAACACTCGACAGTGATCAAGAATCAGAGAAGGAAATTACGCCATCACTGCTTCATCCGTCCATGCCTACCCTCAGCAATTCTGGTAACGAGCATAGAAATTCGATTATATATCGAAAAGACCTTCCGAAAAGGGGATTCCTATTTGACAGTGGCAGTGATTCGGAAAGCGACATATTCTCGAAGAAACCATCGCCCCTATTTAAGAAAAATAAAAACATAGCAGCGTCACCACATTCGGTAGAACCAGCAGTAAAGGCCAAAACAACATCTATTGAAAAAGAGCAAGTTCGTAAAAACGCCCTGCTTCCCGCGATACCATTTCAACCGACTACAGACAAGGATAGGTCCGACGAAAAAATATTTGGCTCTCGATTTTCCGCGCCGGACGCTAATCTACAACCACCTCAATTTACTCCTTTATCTTTAGATCCTATAGGAGCCACAATCACTGAGAAGGTGCATAATCTATAAACATACTCATTCTTTTTTTTGTCTGCAAATATATTAATTTTGTAAATTTGAAAAATTTGATATTTATTTTATCAATTCAAACTCGTAGGTTCTTTTGAAGAGTTTAAACCGCGATATTTCAAGCGATATAGACGATGGGCTTATATATTTACTTATTTCTTATAGATAACATATCGCAATATTCCTATATTATGTGTAGCACGGTTAGACAGTTAGCATAAGATGTATGTGTTAAATATATATGTGAGCTAATACAGCGAATCCTTCAATGAGAATTGGCATATATAGAGCTGCATACAATTTTTCAGTACAGTGAACTCTATTATACTTTCTATTTCAGAAAACCATTGCAGAGCTTCAGTCTAGAGAGCATATACCGAAGCCGTTGGAATCTTTTGTAAAGCCTCCTTCCAGTGATTCTGATGAATCGGCAATAAGAAAACATTCGCCTGAGGTGGACAATATTCAAGATACAGACCACCAAAAAGTGGCATCAAAAAAACTAGCCCTATTCGATAGTGAATCCGACGATGACTCTCTTTTTGGTGACCCCTTAAAAAAGCCTACTGCTTACGAAGAAAAACTTCCGAGAATTGAAAGTTATTCAAAGTCAACGCTAGGTACTGATCAACATCTTTTTGTGAACTCAACTGTTAGATCAACCCTAGAAAAACAGATAAAACCAGCTACTGAAACGGTAGTGGAAAATAAGAAAGATGAAAAATCGGACCAGAAACAGGAAGAAAGCAATTTGAAGATGACGTACGAGAAGGAGTGCGTAAACAAAATTAGTGCAGCACTTCCTATAGACACAGTAGAGAGTGTAAGGCAAAAACAACAGCAGTCTGGTACGGTACCTGTTGACGGCGATACTCAAAGCGGCAACTCGTATAGTGAACGCAGCCGTCAAACATTACCTGATGATGAGTCTCCATCTAACAAGATGGAGAAGCAGTTTACAGAACAATTGACCTTCGATGAAGTCATGCTTCCGATTGCGGCCGTAAGTACCACTCCCATAGCCGACGAACTAAAACAACCGATCGCATCCGAAGATAAATCTCTGGTAGCGGATCAGGCCAAGCTTCCAGCCCCTGAGCAAGGAAATTCTTCACTGTGGAAAATTCCAGTTAAATCTTGTATCCCAGTAAAGATCAAACCACCGTTTCCCGTAAAAGTAAATACAACAAGTAAGAATATAATCAAAACACCAGCGGAAAATGAAGCGGGTCTTTCCCAAGAGACTCAACCTTACTCTAGACAAGAAGTTGAACACATCGCAGTGGAAAAAATAGTACGTGACGATACTTCATCGAACGAAACAACAATGGATCAGGATATCTCCTCAAAGAAAACAGGAAAAATCGATTCGGTAAAGAGGGTAGGAACCGGGCTTCCTGTAGGCTTGTTGCGAGGCCTTAAGTTAAAGCAGCAGCAGTTCGGCATAGCACCTCCTCAGCGCAAGACCCATAGCAGTGATTCCGATTGCGATAGCCGGTCAGAATCGGAATCCGTGGATTCGTCGATTGCAAAACCGGAGTCAGCACTCTTTTCTGGTGGCCAAACTATCGGAAAAGTTGTTGAAAACAAAGGCATAATAAACATCACAAAAAGTCGCGCAAAAGGTCCCATTGGACGTAGACTGCCATCCAGAACGAAAACCTGCACCTCGCAAGAAAACACTGATCAAGTGACAGATGAAAGTGGTAACTCGGAGGAATCCAAAAGCGAAATAATGGATGTGGATACGGAAAAGACTGACACCAGTGTCACTGACGGTGGCACCTTAAAAGCATCGCTCGGAAGTCAAGCGGACGTATACAGAGTAATTACTCCGTCAATGGACAAAAATTCAGATATATTTATAATAAAAAGGAACGAAAAGTTGACAAAGGAAAATAGTTTGCAGAGTGAGGATATCAAAACGGATATTCCGACTCCGGAACAAAAACCTGCGCTCGTTTCAAACACTGAGTCTAATAGGCCAACAAGATGTCTAGCAGAGGAATCACCGAAACTATTTTCTTCGGACAGTGATGACGAACTGTTTGCCCCGCAAACGATACCGCAGAAGAAAACTTTACCAAGAGAAGCTGTTACGACTGTTACGAAGACGTTAACGACTTCGAAAGACGTACCGCCTTCAAAGTCATTTACGGATCCCCTTTCAGTACTTCCTGCCGGCGACACGGAAGTTAGTGCGGAGAAGAATAAACAAAGTGTGGCTGCTGGTAACTTTGCAGCAGCGACAAAAATAAGCAGCGCACCTTCGGATAAGAAAAGACTTATCAAAAGACAGAACATAGCAAGCTTGCGGAAGGCAAACATACCTTCAAGAAACGAATTATTTGAGGATTCCGGTGATGATGATGAAGACCTATTTGGTACAAAAAAGGATTTCAAAACGCTTACTCAAACAGTGCCCAAATCATTGACAAGCTTGTGCTTACCTCAGAACTTTGGCCAGGCGACGACACCACAGAGCCAACTGAACAGTAAAGGCCTATTTGGTTCCGACTCAGATTCCGATGATCTATTCAGAAAGTGACTAGGGCGCTGACACTAACTGCAGAATGTATAACAATTTTCATATAAAAGCAATCGACAGCTAGCGGTTTATGAAGATGTTTATAAGTAGTCTATAGACATTGAGGTAACAAACAAATCCATATATCGCGTAGGTGTTGAATACCGGTTAAATCTTTTACTTGATAAATTCTTGTTATGTAATTTTCATGCATGATGTTTTTACTCATTGAATGAATGTTTCTGCACACGGCTATGTAAATGCACATAGTACCAAACACCCTTAGAGATAATATATATATATATCGACGTAAACTAAAACTTCATATTTTCCAACTCGCAGTGCCGCTCTTTGTTTTTGTTAACTACACCATTGCTTTTGAAAGACATTTGGACGACTTTGTCATTATAACGCATCGTTCAGGCAAAACAATGTTGTGGACGTATACACCACATTGTAGATAATCATAGTGTCAGATGAGAATTTACTATAGGTAGTTATCTCTAAATAACGTAGAGCTGCAATAATTACACAGGCTTGAGTAAATATAAGTTGGCTTTAAAGAACGGCACGTAAATTGCTATTTTTCCTTTTTTGACTTATTTGATTTTACAATAAATGGTTATATATTACTTTCTCTTCAGCGCTTTCTAAAAAAAACAACATTATCATTTAATTTTATTAAACAATGAACTCTTTACGAAATTCTTTATGAACGAAAGCATTAGTGGCCTATACTATCCCACTTTCCTTTCTAAAGTTATAATCGACTATATATATATATATATATTAGTATGCTAAACTGTTGTTGTCTACTGATAGTCAACGGTTTCCCCAATTTGAGTAAAGAGCAGCTATTATCGAATCCCTTTACGAGACTCGAATTTCTGAATAGGAAAAAATTATTTTTTGCTCGAAATTCTCGGTCAAGCTTATTTTAAGTTACCATACAGCTTTCCAAAAATCTGTGGAAGATTTTAATTACGCTAAGCGGATGATCCTTGATAGGGTTTAGATAAGAACTCCAAAATTTGTGGAAATAACGCGAAAAACATCTCTGATAATCCTGGATGCTTGGTACAAATATGGAACAGTCAGTTATAAATTTGATCGTCTAGATATGCTACAAAGACTAGGTTTTTTAAAAGGTTTCTGCAACTTCTTGTACCTTTTACGCCTTTTGGCTGTTTTGCTTTTTATTAGTCCATAATTTAAGTCCGTTGTTGAAGCTAATTAAAGCTGCAGTTAAGGTTATATACTCGACCATTAGAAATAACCTTTTCAGCACGACAAAGTAGATGTAGTCCTGCAAACGACTTAAAAGGAAAAGTCCCAACTTAAGATGACTGTTATATATGTGGATTGAACTAATGAAATATATGGTTGTTATATATGTGGATTGAACTAATGACATATATGATTGTTATATATGTGGAGTGAACTAATGACATATATGATTGTTATATATGTGGATTGACCTAATGACATACATGATTGTTACATATGTGGATTGAACTAATGACATATATATCATTTTTCATCATTAGTTCAATAAACAGAATTACTGTTTGTAGAATTTATGAATTCAAGCTATATTGTCCATTCTATCTAATATATATGAACTACACACACGCACTAGCAACCACTTGCAGGGGCTCCACATAATATTTCTATCTTAATTGCGTACTAGTTTTCATATCGTTACAACAATGATTCTAGTAAAACCATTAACTCTGAAAGCTTTGAACTCGAGAATTTCAATTTTAAGCAAAGTTGAAACGTATGCCTAGAAATATTAATTAATAACTCCTAACTTTACATTTATAATATGTATACTATATATAATAGTTTATTTTCAGTATCAAAGGTGTCGAGGTTAACTAACTATGCATTTAAAATAGGTCAACACAAAACATTCCCAGATGCCACCCTTTAAGAGCAGATGTATGAGTTCGTGTCATCAGCAATTATCCGTAATACATGTTCGCATGTGTATATATCTACACGAATGCAGTTGATGTTCAATTCCTGAGCTCTGCTGATCCAATTCGAAACATTTATCTGACTTGACATGTTTCATTCGTATAGGACTCATGTCCAGCACTAATATACTATAAATTATTATTGGTATTAGCTTAATCCTTATTGACACCTCAAAAAAAACGGTTGATACACAAGCAAATATAACTCGATTGAATAATATACATTATAATACATAATACAGTAACTGCTATCGTCCGGAACATGTGTTGCTGGTCGATTGCATCAGTACTACTGTGTCTGGGACAGCGGTAATATACAGACAGGAGACAACATCGGTTCTTCTATAATTTGCTTTTCATTGTTGTTCGTTTACAATTCGCTATTTTGTTCTTACGTCAGCAAAAGCCAACAATGAAGATGGCCAATCGTGACTCTCATTTCTGACGGAGGAGATTATGGAGCTTGAGTCATTCTGGTCATCTTTGCTTGTTAGACTTTTTGCTAGATTTTAAGATCCTTATATGTGCCCGCGTCTAGTAGTATACCCCAAGTGACTTGTACATGGATACTGCATCCCATGTCAGTTCCAGAAACCACCGACGGAATTCGAATGTCGATTCAAATACGTACAGAACATACGCCGCCGTTGGCAGGCAACATGTTTGATGTACAGACAATGGTTTAGAAACTGAAACTTGCATTGCCACTAGCGTCGGTTATAGAACTGTACTTTATATACTCATTCATTGACTAAGTACTTGTTTGTGTTTCACGTCAGGTAGCAATGACATGACATGTATACATAGCATGTTTAATAACATATTTCACTCGTAGAGTATTTACACTGCACGCTGAAGCACGGCGCGGTCTCATTGATTGAAACCATTACTATGTGACGAATCGCTCATAAACATAAATAATGGTTTGAATTGTATTAGAGCACATGCACACACACTAAGCCCCCTGAAAGTCTCACAGTAACATTGTTTTATAATTGGGCCTTTCCAGCTGACAGAGCTGTGCCTTCATATTTAAGCCTATGTATTTAAGCCTATTCATTAAACACCGGGTGAGTTTTATTACTTATTGCAATGGATTCTGATCTTACTTGATAGCCAAGAGGTGTCGTAGACGTACACTCAAGAACGTCTGGATTTCCTGTACATTCATGTACTAATCTCTGTATCTTTTAAGATCCATCGTTGTGCTTCTACTTCGCTGCAGTTGGCAGCAGTCAAAATGGTCGTCAGTCATCAAGCCGCCTACGCATCGCACGCCGTGTTCGTAAAATACACCCATGTTTCAGCTGTTAAATATGCTTTTTGGGAACCATAGAATGTAGCATTTTCTTGTGCGCGTCTCAAGTTGTCTTCGCCTTTTTGGCTGCATCCGATACGTCTTCTGACTGAGATTCTTGAAGGTCGTTAACACACTCTGGTAGCTCCTTTTCTATCAACAGCTTGAAATACTCCTCAAGTAGCTGTAATGGATATCATGATGTGAACCGGATAGTTAGATACGTCGACTAAATTTTTTATCACAGAGCTGGGGCAGGGTTAGAAGGCACATTTTGGATAAACTGACCCGATATATTTAGATAGATCATATCAGCCATTGACTTCCCGTAAGGCATAATGAATAACTAGGGTTTTCTACGAAAACTACATAGGTCTATATTGAAGTGGACCGGTTTAGCTTTGTCGTCAGATAGCAAGATCAAGCACTTCACAGCTGTTCGCTCCGCACGTGGACGTGGCATTAAATACTTACACCTATTTGCTCCGCGCATAGACGTGGTATTTACTCATATATTCATATATAGTTTTATGCCAAGTATTGCTGTTAGGCATTCCGTCAAGTGTAACAAGCAAACACCTTACCCACTACGTTATCACAGGGATTATTCAAAACTCTACAACTCCCACGAGACGCCCTCGTCCTGCGTCAGGTATTCTTTAGCTGCGCTGCGCATATATACGTCCGATATTTCATGCGCATGTTGAACGGGAGTCTACTATTGCCAAAGCTTACTAATGAAGCTTTGGCAATAGTGGACCCGATTAACTTCAGGCTTTGGACACGACCGAGGGCTTTCGATGATCCTGCGACAACAGGCTTACACAACAAGGACTCTCAACCTGCCAACCGCACGATTGACAAAAGGGATCAGATTGGTACGGCTGGATTCGGATTGCAAACACTAAACAACAAAGGAAATGGGTAGAAAAACCTTGCTCGGGAGAGGTAGGTAGAAAAACAATGGTCGAAGAGGGTAGGTAAAGAAATTCTGGTTGGGGTGGTAGGTAGAAAAACCTGGTCGGGGGCGCTAGGTAGGAGAACCCCAGTGGGGGTTGGTAGGTAGAAAAATCCTGATCGAAGAGGTTAAGCAGGAAATGTGAAGAAGATTAAGATGTGATTCAAAATTTGCACACTAATGCGCCGCAGAACTATTTTGTTACAATTTGTGAATATAATCCACCGAGTGATACCCAAAATATAATCCACCCAATAGTAAATGTAACCTATCCGATCGGTTTGTCGCTTTTAGGTTGGTCCTCATTTGCCCACCCAATAATAGCGGTTTGAAGTAGCATGCAATATTAGAGGTTATAAAAATAACTAATTTAAGTAGGCCTGTCTGACTCAAAACGAAGCGCCTCAAAGAGGGCACCGATGTGTGTGCCGAATATAAAATGTGGGGGGCACCGACTCGCTGCGAAATATAAAGTTCGCAATACCGCTTTACCATTCATCGTATTCTCTGACAAATTTTTATTAAAATTATATTAGGTGAAAAATATGCTTAGCGTTCGTTGCATGAAAGATTATGTTTAAACTAAAATATATCGCACTAACCTGAGCTTGTTTCGCTAGCGGTGACTCTTTCGCGTTAAACGTGTAACAATTGCTGAAAATCAGTTTGATGTCCTGTATGAAAGCGGCCGCACTCTCATAATGATTGAAGTGACTTGCCGAGAGCTTCTGTTTGACCGTCGATAGGTCCATCGGCCGCGTAATGATCTTGAAGTAGTTCGGGACCGTCCGGCTAACAGGAGTTTGGAACGGCGTTGACGAAGCGTGACAAAATAGCTGTAGTAGAATTTTCTCAGCCGTTTTCAGCTGTTTACCGCTTAGACCCACGGGTATTTTTCTCTTTCCAGTGCCATCTTTCGTGGCAGCTGGAGCCGGGTCATCCTGTACAGGCGTGCACAGTGTACATTTCCAGTCCTCGCTTGGAGTGGACACTAACGAAGGTACGTGACAATGAAGATGATAAACCTTCGGGCAAAGTCCACAGCAAAGGAGTTCTCCTCCGTCGTGGCACACTGCGCACCAGTCGTCGCTGTTATCGTTATCCTCTGCTGAAGCAGGCGGTCCCTGTGGATGGAGTTCGGCCGGGCTGACTCCGGTTGCTCTTCTTTCGGCTGCTGACGTTGACGCAGAGTTGCTCACTGAGCTTGACGTTGCGCTGGAGGGCACGGCGGATAACGGCGAGGGCGCTATGCGACCGCCGCTTGGCGGCTCCACATCGCCTGTTTCCATGAACGAAAAAAAGAATAGAAAATTCAAAGCGATTATGTCTACTAATTAACACCTAATCATATAATTTATCTACGAAAATTTTAGATTTCTTTTATATGCGCGACAAGAACTATAACACGGATTTTTTTCACTTACCGTGTAATGTATTATTCTTCTTTATCACCTAAGTAGCCTCAAGTTTAAGCATGCTCGAAATGCGACTTATGTGTAGAATTGGCTTAAACTAAGGCGTCTTACCCGTAATCACGTCATCTTTATTTCCGGCGTCAAGAGGTGAAGTTGTTGGTGTCGGTCTTCGATGATGCTCTCGTTCTCGTTCGTGATCGCGATCTCGTGATGACCCAGACAGAGGTCTGTCAGAATGTTGTTGGCTTGAAGGAGGAACTCCTCCTAGGCTATGAGGTGAATTACTTTTACTGGACAGTGAAGGACTCGGTACCGAACGGCCATTGGCCATCATCCCACCAGCTGATTGTGGACGGCTCTATACAAAAATGTACAATAAATTAGGTATATTGTGAATTGACACGCATGAAAGAAGCGTATAGCAAAATTTCGTGTGCTGGTTGAATAGTGTCAAAAAGGTTTCAAGTGCCGACCACGTTGACTGGCACTGAATCCAACCCTATCTGTGATATTTCTGTGATATACCCCTAATCAAATGCAAAATGGTACAAACTTCTTGGAAAATTTATCACACTGATGCTGCTACGACCATGTGACCCCTGACCCTAAATACGTACTCAGATCTACAACATGTACGTTACTGGAAAACAGTATTGCACGGCGGACCGACGAAAAGTTCTGGCCAAAATATAACGCAAAATTCTAAACGCACCTGTTGGCCGTTGAGTTGTGCTCGGAGACCGTGCATCGGTGCCCCACGTAACGAGGACATGTCGAGGATATTGCCGACATTTGCCATAGCGTCGAGAATTTTCGGCTCAAAGTTGAACTTTATATTAATCTCAGCCTTGCTGCTGGGTAACTGGACGACCCGTTCGATAAGCGCGCCCATATGGCGTTCCATAGCTTGTTTCGAGTGCATAAGCGCTAATTCGCTGCCAGTTGAGACAAGATCGTCCACTGTCGCATGACAGTCGAGCAAACGCTTGCACAGCTAAAATAATAATAAACGAAAAAGTAGATATGCAATAAATCTTTACTTTCCTCAAACTGATATCGATATTATGTTCAGCATAAAAATGTTAATAATCAATAAAAAATATTAATGGATCTATCATTTTGATTAGTTGTTGTTGTATATTTTACTTAAATATTTTTGTAATTAAATTAGTTTAGTTCGGTGCTGCATTACTCACTTGAAGAAATTCGTGACGTTTGTAACTGAGCGCGTCTCTCTTGTAATTGCAAATGTCCTGAACCTCCCGGATGAGTTTCTTCGCTCGCCCGTTGATTAACGTTATAGCCCGCACGGCATAGGCTCTAATGTCTGCCACAACCTTCGATTCAGCCTGCGCAACGGAAGCATGATAAGTACATTGGGAATTCTATTAAACTCGTCTGTTCGCCTTTACTTCAGTAACGCTAAAAATTATACTAAAGATATTAATTTTAAATACCACCTCATTCATCACCATACTCAATTTTTTGTCGGATTTAATAGTCTTATTTATTTTGAACAAATTTAACCAGATGCAATAGATAATAGCTTTACGGACTTTGTAAGTCCGCAAGGCTATTAACCTGGGCGTTGGCTTCTTGGCATTTTTCCAGTGAAGCGACATATTCCCGCACGAATGCCTGCTTTTCGGCGATACGCTTCTGCAATATTTCAAGTTTCTCTTTTTGCGTCTTCCAGGCGGCAACAAGAGCTAAATAGTCCCCGTGGTTCTGGTGATCCTCGAGTTGACAATCGCGACACGTAAGAGCCGAGCATTTGCTGCAGTAGAATTTTAGCGGTTCTTTCGGATGTTTTGTGCACATCTGGTATCGCTGTTTTGCCGCGGCCTTCAATGCTTGGCCTGCCTGTTCAGTTGACAGAATGACATGGTCTTTGGTCACCTTAACGCGTTGGTGAGCCGAAATACAAGCCGCACATAGCCACTCTTCACAATCCTTACAGTAACTACAGACAAGAGAAGAAAGCACAAAGATACATAGTGATTTTCGACCTTCGTAAATTACAATAGAACTTGACAAGGTTCAAGCTGTGCAAATGTATTAGGCTGTTAAAGGCGAATCCAGCGGACTTTGACATTAAATAACTTCTAGACTGATTGGACTAGAACAATGATTTTTTAATGTGTTAGAGATGTTCTCCTTTACTTTTGTACACTTGTTCTCTCGCTCCCAAATTCTGGATGTATATTTTCGTATCACTCGCTTTCCTATATGTAATTTTTTTTACGGGTTTTTGAAGTAAAACGACAGTAAGGTATGTTTGCCTACCAGTTGACTTTTTTACGGCATGGCAAGCTCTATAATCCTACAGAATTGGATTGGAAGGACAAGCGGACTAAAATCAATGTTGGATATTTCTTTGCTCAATTCAGGAACTAACTGAAGTATAACGATGGGATCATCATGTAACTAAACTGCGTGCTTTCAATCGTCACCAACGGTTTAGAAGCCTTTTGAGGAACTCGAGATAGCAGGGCGTATTTTTAATTTCGGCAAGTGTTTCATAGTAACAGAGACTCTACTGCAAGTAGAACCGTCACCGTAAGTGCTAGATAATACTGCCACCAAACTCGATTCCTTTCTGGCGCGACACCAGTCTTCGCCTAATCTTTCCTACTAGTGGTGAAGACTGAACCATGCTTCGTCTAAAATTTACCGTATGCCTCAGGCGGGTCTTTTTTTATTAAAATTCTGCGAATTGCATCTAAAATTCACCGCAAGCATTTCTAACTGGCCTAATGTCAATCCACGCAGAACACATTTTTCACTCAGTCTTTACATTTCAGTAATCGAGTCACAGTTCTACACAGCTTTATGTGTAAAACGTCAGTTTGGCCGACGTAACCCTTAGGCTTTACTCTACTTTCGCGAAAAGCTTCTTCAATTCACGTGCTGTGCAACGCTGTGGCCTTCGGGGCACAATAACTTCGGATGTTCGGGACAGATACTTGTGTTTCTGAAATAATTTCTGCTGGAATAAACTTAACTAATTTTCACTCAGAAGTTTCTAGAAGTCAGGGGTATTTACATGCAGACTCCGTCTTCTACCGAGGCATAGTTCAAAAGTTATTCAATGTTAAAGTCCATCGAATTCACTCAGAGCAGCCAAATATATTAACCTAAAACTGAAGATACATACCCTCCAGCGGCGACGTTTTCGTCACATGAAGTGCAGAGATTTTTCGGCCCGGCCTCTTCCGAGCCTGCTTCCTCTTCGGGCGAATCCTTCTCCAAACGTTCGAGAAGCACAAGATGGCGAATGGCAGCACTCGGCGGGAAAGCCTGCTCGCAATGTCCACATTGTACCTGTAGTGAATGGACACATTAGTTAGTAAGTACATATCCAACAATCCAATTTCCTATCATCCAAAAAAAAGTTTCAGCTACAGGATCTTTAGCGCCACCCAATACCGTCCATTACTTACGACGATTTTTTGAAGCTAATGTCTTATAACTGCCAGTGTGTACGGGACTTCGCCAAAACTGCATACAGGAACCGAATCGTTTATAGCACATTAGCTGGCAAGCTTGTGTTCGACCCGGTGGTGGCCATGCTCTAAAGAAATATCAAGCTATCTTGCTATGAAGGATGAAATGGCCGGTCAATTTTTGCTACGAGAAGCTACCATGTATTATTCCGATCCGCAGGACTTCTATCTTTTTGCAATTGGCCAAGCCGTCGGTATTTGGTTTCTGCCACCAAGGCAATCAGTTACTTTTCAGAGAGGCGTCCAAACAACGACCCGGGAGCATTATCCATAAATGCGGCGCTAGTCAGCGGACAAAACCGTGCAACACCTGCCCCAGGCGTCTTTTCTAAAAGACAGACTTCTATTTTATGGGGCCGGCGCGTGCCCCTAGGGAGGCGCCTCCGTCGGTGCTAGAGAGCGCAGACTATTGTACTCGTTTCGTTTATCTTTTCATTGCTATTCGCCGACGTGGTAGAGGTCCTTCCCACCCTTCAAGACTGCTACGGGTCGATGGACGCAATCTACATATGACGCCAGATACTTGCGGAGCCGTTGCGTGCGGCATTATCTGGCACGCTCTATCACCTTCCATATAAAAATTGCCATAGTCCACCCACAAGCGAACGAATTGATGGCGCGGGTGGTTTGGATGGTTAGAAAGCGCCCCTTCGTGCATCTCCTGAAATCGCCCGGCTTCTCCGTCTTCGCGATGCTCGCAGTGGTCGTCTTCATAGTAAATATTACAGTCAGCGGAGTCCTAGGCATAACTACATTCGATTTTGTTCAAGGTCGTGCTGTTAGAGGAGCCGCCGGAGTTGCGGTGAGCCCAAGGGATTGGTCGTTTAATATCCAAGCTGTAAGCAGAGACCCTTGTCTGCATTCGCCAGGGAATGCAGCTCCTTAAAAAATAATTCCCATATCCTTGTATTCTCGCGTCTTCCACGCCAGCACCTTCACACATCACGGAACGTGCCGCCATGGTTCAACCCAAGGTGTACTCTCAAGAAGCGAATTGTGCGGTACACGTTGGCTGCGGCATGTCACGGCCAACATACGAGATATCCGGCGAGATTTGGCGAATGATGAAGGCAATTCGCCCGGTAGCGTACATGAGTGAAACGGACGTAGATATTATATAATTATAATAAATGTATCTTCGGTTCCGGCCAATCTTTAATGTATAAGATTATCGCGCCAGCCGATCATTGGTTAGCCTCCTGCGGTCGAACCTCGTCATTGTAGCACTGAATACATATATATGTATATAACACTTAATTACAAACGTAGTGTAGTGTGTGTGGTAGGTGAAACTCCACCGAACGACTCCTTGGTCTCTCAATTAGAAGTTCGGTCGCCTTAGCCACTGCGTCATATATATGCATATAAAAAATCAATTTCGAGACCTTATAAATCTCAATCCATTAGCGTATTTCACTAGGAATTTGTAACACTTCAAGGGATCCACGGTATAATTTATTGCGGACAAGCTTTGGCATCTCGTGTCCTTTTATTAAGAGCGGTAATAATGGGAATAAGTTCTTTTGATAATCTTGTGGCTAACACGAATTTTATGTTCATATAAAACAAGAAAAGCGCCATAGAATATTATTTTTTCGTGATATCAAGAGCATTAGCGTTGATAGCTTATCAGAAGTTGTTTTGACACTTGCATTTCTAAAATCATAAAATATCCGTTTGATTTGAGGGATTTGATAAAATATTTATCGGATACTTTATCGCTATTACTACTATGTATTACTACAACTACCAAACTGAATTAAAATAAAACTGAGTCGCTTATATGTAGAACAGTCATCCCAAACATTACTTCAGCCTTTAATATCAAATTAAACGTCTGGTTTCTATGAGTCAATAGATAAGGTGCACGCATTAGATGAGTCATTTTGCCAATGGTTACACAAGTAGGTCTGAGTCTGCCGAGTCTGAGAAGCCTATGTACAAGAAAATGTGTTGTTTTATTGTTTTACACAATACTACGATGAAACTAAGCTAAGTTTAATTTACCTGGGATAACTTGTTGTGAACTAAAGTACACCAGTTTCAACCATGCTTTCAAGATCGACCGCGTATTTAGCAAACCAGTTAACTGGCCATGCATTAACTAACTGTACCAGCAAAAACCACATCAAGTAAACGAAATTATATTCTATTTCGCCCGTAATCCAAGTTAACAAATTGTCCCCCGAATTGCTGGTGTATATAGGCAATTAACCTCGTTTCGAATATGTTTAATGTCTCATATTTATGGTAATACACGAGCTACACAAAAATAAGCGTTATGAGAAACCATTGATTGCTCCTCTGTCCGCGCGTCGGCTTCCACAGCCCGCGCATAACTTGAAATAAAAGAAATTTAACTTCAGTATTTGCAATGGCCTAAGAGCGTACTATTAGGCAGGTTCACAGGCGATTATTGCAAAAAGGCTGGAACACCTATTGTAATAATACAGTAAGTTTCTTTCATGGAATACGCCAATGATAATAATAAAAACAGATACGGCGTTTAGTGCTCTCACGCATCTCATAAAACATTTCGCATCAAGTGCGCATGATTTAACTTACATATGTAGCACGTCATGCTATTGACTATCTAAACGACGTGTGCTGTTTCAGTTTGTCATAATAGCCGTCATCGTTCCGTGTGTGACATTCGCATTTTCGCTTACCGTTAATTGATCGTCGGGAAGACACGCTTTGCATGCCGTATGCAGACACGGCAACAGAAACGGTTCGGATTTAATGCTGACTTCAGCAGCACATACAGAACACTTTTTGACCAAACCTACTGGCTGGGGCGAGGCAATGCCGACCGATTCACTGTCTGCCATCTCGTTCTCCTTTGCTCCTTTCCCCGTCGATTGTAGTTGCAGTTCCCAACTGACCCGTCGGTTGTAACCACCTGGACCCGAGCTCTCGTTATGACCTGCTCACGGTTTATTGTTTGCCCCGTACATGATTTGTGACTGCAGAGTAGCGAAATTCGCACTCAGCCAATGAATGATCTTAAAATCCATAACAAATTGCACCTTTGCCATGGGCGTCCCAGCTAGCTGGAGCTGGCTGTCAACATATAACGCTTGAGTGATCTGTAAGACGTTTGTAGTCACACAGAACGTTGAAAGAAAAACACTAACAGGAGAAGATCTTTTGACGCCGTTCAGCCGTCAATTCGACACGGGATGAGTACTGTATTAGTTACCATCCATCGACATGATAACGATCACGGTCGGCACCTGCAACACAATGCACACACAAATACTCGCTATCTGGTAGTCACTTCGTTCACACAAGTGCAGCAGCAGCTGCTGCAACTGCTATTACGGCTGTCTGTGTGTACTGCGGCTACCAATAACACTTCTCCCCGCTTATGTTGTCATCGTTGCTGTTGCTCTACTGTGGTCAAGGTGCCGCACTCACTTTTCTGAACCGTCTGCTGCTATGACGACACTCCCGGCAGAGAGGCTGATTTTTGCTTAACGATTCAAGCCCAGGTCTGCAAATAGCGCCAACTGTTGTTGTTGATGTTGGGGATCCTACGCGGAGGAGGTTCGGATATGAACCTTAGCAAGCCTTCTTCTAGCTCGTCTGCTCGATCCCGCGACGAAGTCATCGTTCGAATCATCTAGATCCATGTTAATGGTTTTTTGATGTACTCTAATATCGTCGAATGTGTTTCGCCTTACTGTGTAATTTTTTAATGATTACTATTTGATGGTTATCAATTGCAGGAAATAGAACGTTTTGTGTACGTTGAGAGCATTTCGTTATCAGTGAGCATCATATCATGAAGATAGAGAGTCACTCATTGTACAGAAAAGAGATGAAATTCACTTGGAACTCATAGTAACAGGCACGCAACCAAACCGATAGATTCACCGCGAAAGATGGCGAATTTGCCTAAAACTTAATAGCAAATAGCTAAGATATTATGGATTAGCTGAAGCTGCGCATTTTCGCGATATTGTAATGAACATATCTTTGACGAACATTTCAGTTACGTCTGTGGGCATTTTAAACAAAGTGCTTATTTGAATATTATCGTTCCGTTGAGTTTATCTTGTATATAAGGTGCTTTCACTTTTAATGTATATTCGTCTCGGTTGTGTTTAAGTAAAATGAGCCTTTTATAAAAAAAAATGAGACTAAAATGAGATTTTTACCTACCTAGTCAATAAAATAGTGCATGTATAAATATGTGTTTGTAATATATTTCGTGCGTCGCAATACTCGGAAGCAAGCAACAATCTACATTAAGAAGGCTAGGAAGGTTAGCTACATTTATTTTGGACTGATAGCCTATATTGCAGATTTCTACCGAAAATAGCTCTATGCCACTATGCAACCGTAGATTTAGAATTTGACTTCTGCCATACTGTTGTGGATGAAGGAACCCACCATGGTGTCTTAAGAAGCTAGCATGATAACACATGAAAATGTTTAGAAATGAACTGACGATAAACAACATAAGCTGCTGCATTGATGATAAATGTTTAAAGCTCACATACAACAGCAGGATACGATTGGACACTAACCTGTGAAAGTAATTGCACCGAAAGTTGTATTGGTTTTCGGCCATTGAGCCAATAGCGATTTGTAGAATTGCTTTTCGAATAGAGGTACTATTTTTAGATACTGAACAAAGTGTGGAACTACGAAATTAGTTTTTGTCTTGACTACCGACCAAGCGGTTCCATCAAATTAGCCAAAAATTCACGTTAATCAAAGGAAGTCAAGGTAAATAAATTCTTACGGGATAGCTAATCAACGCTAAAATGAGTGTACTACTGAATAAATTTTTGGTCGGTTTAAGCAACGGAAAGTCGCGGTATTGCAATTTTAACTCGAATCGGAATGAGATGCTTTGAGATCCTTTGTTTCTCTAGTAAAATACTTCGGCATAACACGATACAATTTAGATTGTCATTGTACTAGTTTCGCGATGTGGCTCTTCTTAGTTGTTTTGTACAAGATGCTTCTGAAAACGCACTATGTCGATTCTAACGTCCATATGTAACAGAGTTGGACTCAAAGCGGAAATTACCAGCCTCCCGGCGAGACACGTAGCAAACGAAATTACTGGAAAGACAAAGTTGTGTATATTCAGACTTTTCCTAAGTCGAGTTTGTCTCTTCTCGCAGTTGTCCTTCAAAACTACGTATGTTGAATATCACGCACGAAGTAGTAGTTTATTTAGAATTCGCGGCGACAACTACCTTTTTATATTTGTCAAAAATAGCAAACGCACTGAAAATATTTCATGTATATGGTCAAATATAAACCGAAAGATATTTTTTATCGGGCAAAGAAAACACAATGAAGATATTTCTCAAGACGTTTTTTATTACCCACACATCTTTCACGTCACTTACTTTTACACCTCCTCCCACTATGCATTCTCGCTTGCTGTCATACAGTAAAAATAATTTGATAATACGGAAGCAAAACTAAAGATGTAATCATTAGCATCCTTAATGGGGTCCCAGGGTTACTTCTTTGCCTTTTTCTTTGCCTCCTCTTCGATTGGTGCCGGCTTTACGAAAGGAATCTTCTGGCAGTATTGTTCAGGCATCCATGACCGAAGAACCTCAGGCACTCGAATACCATCCTCCTCTTGGTAATTTTCAAGTATACAGCAAATCACGCGAGTTGTTGCGCACATCGTCGCATTCAGCATATGTACGTACTGTGCCTTCTCGTTCATTTTCTTCGTCTGCCCATAACGTATTAGTAAGCGCCTTGACTGATAGTCCAAACAGTTTGAGCACGATACGAGCTCTCGGAAGGCTCCACTGGCTGGGAACCACGCTTCAAGATCGAATTTTTTGGCCGCGGCATTGTTAAGCGCACCTGACACTATATTTACTATGCGGTACGGCAGGTTCAAGGCTTGGCAAAAGCCTTCAGCGTTGCCAATCATCTCATCGAATGCTTTCCACGATTCACCATCATTCGGTGAGGTAATAACGAATTGTTCAACCTTTTCAAATTGATGAACTCGGAAGATGCCGCTTGTATCTCTTCCGTGGGAGCCGACTTCTTGACGGAAACAGGTAGACAACCCGGCGTACTTAATCGGTAGGTCCTGTGGAGCAAGCCATTCGTCCCGGTGGAAGGCACATATTGGCTGCTCAGAGGTCGCTATAAGGTATTTCTCGTCCAGTTCTTTCTCGTCAGCCTTTTCACTGCCTTTGCCGATCACTTTATACAATTCTTCATCAAATTGCGAAAGCTGAGCCACCTGTTGCATAACAGCTTTTCTCATGAAGAATGGCGTATACAAAGGCGTGTATCCCTTCTTGAGAAGTGTCTGGAGAGCCAACTGAAGTAGTGCTTGTTCGAGGAAGACAGCTGGACCTATATCAACGTAAGTTTGAACCTTATAGCAGTAACGATATGAAAGTTCCGTTTTTTTCACGCGTTTACCAGTACGTACACCTTTTAGAATCCGCCTCTGTGTCACTAGGTGACTTCGTAATAAAGCAATAGCACCATATAACTCTGGTAGTAGAGCCCATTGGTAACATTGGCTACTTTATACGTTTGTTGGTTATACCCACCTTTTAAGAAATATCCACGGCCGCCAGCAACAACAGTTCCTCGTTCACCGTCCATTCCATCAATCATAACGATTAGGTCAACGTGCGAGTATTTCTTCGTTACTGTACAATTTCCATACGTTCTGATGACTTCATTGTTGTCCTCATTGTCTGAAATAACGACTCCTTCGCCAAGCCAATTGGCGACCTCACGAAGATTCTCATTGCGTTCTTCTTCCAGCTCGACCAAACGCTTATTTGTCTTTTCAATGGCGTCTGCCACCTTTCCGACCAGCTTTGATAAATTGTAATTACACAGAAAAATGTGTAGTGTTAGATATAAGGCAGTGTTATTGGTAAGGAGTACGAGTAAAGCACTCGGTAAAAGGAGTTAAACCAAAACACAAAACAGCGAAAAACTTTAAAACTGAAATCACAAACATGCGTTAAAGTAGGCATTTTCAGTGTGTTTACCACCAGTGTGTGATACCAGTGGACGTGTTAATATACTTCCGTTGACAAGCAGGTATTGAGAAAGAAAACAGCTTTATAACATGTATTCAGGGTTGCTTTAGCACTAAAATTCACTATTACACAGGCCGCGATGTGGTGCTTGCATTGTCGAAACCTTATGCGCACTCTTCGAACAGAAACAACATCGTATATTTTCAGATTTGGATAACGTTATATATTATATAATTAAGAAGCTGCCTGAAACTCAAAATATGAGTACAGATTTCAATATATAGTTCTTTAGAAGCGTTACATAACACAGTTTGCACCACAAAATTGACCTGTATGAATACTCACGGATTTTATCTGGTTGACAGTAAGTGAACGAATGGTGTCCGCCTGGAGTTCGTGGCTAAATGCGAAATCGCCGGAAATGCATGCTTCGCCTTCAGGCTCCTTTTTCTTTTTTTTTTCCCCGATCGCCTTTGAGCATGTGTTTCTCAATCGATTCCATTCGTCGAGGATAAACCGTTGTTGTCGCCATTCGTTGTGAAGCTCAACGACCTGAAGTGAATACACAATAAAAGAACTTCAGGAAAGCCTCAAGTAGTTACACTCGTAGGCGGCAACAATGAGCTAAACCTGTATAGGAGTCTTATATGATAGTGAAAATATACGGTATCAATTCCTAAGCGTTTTGTCGAATTTCAATGTAACATCGTAACTCATACTGGGTAATACTGTCACCAAATTTTGATAATTAGTTACATTTGATTTTGCTGTATACCTGACGCTACGGGATTTCGTTAAACGAACGAAATTAAATCTTAAAATAATCTTCTCCTCAAATGTTCTGGTCACCCGCAATCGCCCTATAGTTGTACTGTACAAATGTGATTTTACATGTTAAAGGTTGACGGGAACGTTTACCAAGTCGCGCATAGGAACAGCTAAGGTTTGCTAAATTGTGTCATCAAGATCCATTTTTGGATTTGGCCACAAAGGCACAAATCATTTACAATCTATTTCCTTTGTGTTAATTTACACCCCCCATAGTGTTGATTTTGGACGTACTTAGGTAGCTTGACAACTAGGCGCTTAAATCATAGTGACGACTGAACAAAGCGGTTGGGATGAGACTGTTATACGTGTTTATTATTACTATTATAAACACATACGAATCGTTTTAATACAGTAAGAATAGACAATGTGAAATGTTCCGAATTATTATCTTTGTTAATTTTTTTAGTTGTTCGTAGGTTTATTTGAAAAAGGATATGCAATAACCAATGGAAACTAGAAGCTCCACCAAGTTTTCTTTTTAACCATAGAACAACAGCTGTAGTGGTGTTTTATACAGCGTGGCATTTCCGTTTATAAAAGGCTTTTAACATCTCTGAAGGGAGATTGAGATTATAACAGGACAAAATGAAAGTAAATCGCAAGACATATCGTTACTCAAAATAGCGTTATCATCTAATAAAACGATTCATTTCGGCTATGCTATTTTTATATAGTTAGTAAGTATTACATAAATCGACGCAGGCGGATGATGACTAGGGTACGCTATGCCTACACTTAATAATAATAATAAACCTAAAACTAAACAGACGCAAATCAATAAATGGTTCTATAGCTCAATTATAATATGCACCGGTATTTCTTTCCAGCCCAATTGTTTGTTTCTAACTACACCCATATGAATTAAAGACCAGCCCAGTTGTCTAGATACAAGCTGGCGGGCTGGCTTACTCCAAGTTACGTCAGCTGCAGTCGAAAGCGGTCTTCTATGAACCATTCGAATAACAGGAGACTATGTTACCTTGTCGACGAGTCCGACGTCTTTAAAGCGATTTGCTTGGTTTTTGCGAATCCTTTCGGCAGATCCACCTATATCATCACGAAAATCATCGAGTTCCAGCACCATTTTCACAAGCGTAGCGCACAATCGGCCTGCTACAAAAACACTTTACCTTTAGATCTGTCCAGCCGGTTCAAAACGTGGCGCAAATCAAGCAAAACACTTGATGGTAGATGCCAAGCGAGAACCAGCAAATGTGCCCAGTCGTACTCTGACTAGATGCGCAGAGGGTCGACTTATTGAGTGAACCGTTATAAGGCGCCAAGTGTGAGACGGAATGTCCATAGTTGCTCTCCCGTAACAAGAAAAGAAATGGAATGCACGTCCATGACTTGGAAAACAAGCTTTGCAATACTCTACAAATAGGCACATCAAAACAAAGACGATTATTGAAGAATCAGAATTGACTGATTATAAATACACATTTCATGTTAAAATTAATTTATAACACTTTCGCCATTTTACAGGTCGACTCTACTCTACAGGAGAATTTAAGGTTCCCGAAATTTTCTACTGATGTACATAACAAACTGGTCGCTGGCTGGGCGGGATGTGACTCGCTGACGGGTTCACATTTGTAAAGGTTTTCAATTGAAGTTAAAAACAATTTTTTCATAACTGGTTTAGTAATTTATTACGCTATTAAAACTAAAGCAAAAAAAAACTTTGCTAAAAGTAAAATATTTCTAATATGACACAAGAATATAGAAATGTTCGGCTTCCTTAAAGACCTGCACTAAAGGCGTGTATGTAGGCAATAATAATTGCTGGAGTGGCTCACATCGAATCAAATCGGATAATACCTTGGAACCTTTATAGTTACCTGTAATCAGTCATTTTAAGTTAATAATTCATGAATCATATTTAATTGATCACAGTAAAAATTAGTTCGGCTACTCTAAAATTATTCCTTTGCAGATCCTGCTAAAAACTTTACATACTATCTGTTAATTAATCTAATTTATTTTGGTGCATTAAGAACCCGCCTTTTATGTAGTCATTTCCTGTGTTTCGTGTTTTACGTCCGGTACGGCCGTTAGACATTCTCTTAGACGGCTGGCTCCCTGCTCGAAACGAAGTCTGTCTATGCCCGTCTGTGTTTCAACTACCAAGAGAACTGCCACAATCATACTAAGTTCAAGGAACCATCCTTACACGTGATGTTTCTACTTACAAGACTTTTATTATCACTGCTATAATAATGCACACACGTTGTCTATTAAACATAAAAAAAATAAGAACATAATCCAAAAAAGCAACCCCCGAATGGGTGTGCTACTGCCTATTTGATTTTTTCTTACGTGTTCTGTACGTCCCCGTGATAACGCAACGAGTAACGTGTCCCTCTACTGAATTTAGCGACATGTAATGGTCTAGGTTCGGAAGTGGGCGTAGACACAGCTTATTTCGTGCTGGGAGCCAGCGGTGTGTAAAGTAATGCCTACCGGCATGAATATCGAATGTAAAACACGTGAAAGCATACATACTACATAATGTTCGCCCTTTTAGACAAACTAGAGCAAGAAGGATACATTAAACAAACCCTTCATTTAATGAACAAAAAATTGAAACATGAACAATTATATTAAAATCTAGTGCATCATATAAGAATGATTTTTTTGTAGTGCAGGGTATTTTCCGCTGGCGGCGGATGGGCGGCCTATGCTGATTCGCAGCATGGCTGTGCACTCGCCCACTTATAGATTCATTACGAAGAAATTTACGCAACATTGGCTTTGGACAATACGTCTCAACGGAGCTATTGTATTATGAGATCAAGATTTAATTCTGTTCCTGAAGACTGTTCAAGATTAGGGAAATACTTTCTTTTCGTTAACTGACCGACGTTTTTGTTAATGGAATGGACTTGAGATGCTGATGATCAGAACCTTTACTCACTGGCTTGATTGAGAATTTACCTCGCACATAGGATGCATTCTGCCGATTTATAATCAAATCTTTAGTTAATGATTTTATCGGTAAATATATTTTGTTATTTCGCAATAAATGTCGGTTTTAAACAGTCATGTTAGTTATTTTTTTAGCATTATAATGAACTTATCAAACCCATAGACCCATACCTTGACGACTTCCTTTAGACGCGGGTTTATCTATCAAGGATGATATCCTACAGTGCACAGGTTACTTTAGCCCGACACAACATACGTATGGCAAAACATAGGTTGAGACGCAATCGATTTTTACGGAAAAATAGCTGCCGATTCGCCATCCGGGTACACCTACATACCCACAGAAGTAATACGATTTCCAAGCTTGTTTTGGTAGTGTACACGTAAAAGAACATCAAAAGTAGATTTTCATCAAGCTAAGTATCTTCTTAGGACAGTTTGTAAACGGTCGATATGTGAGAATTCGTCTAAGTTACGTACTTAAGCGAACGTGCTTGTACTATGACACTGATTAGAGACATGGCGATTGCTTTCAAAGGAAGTGCTTCTTATTAGTGAGTTTACCTCTTGTAAGCTAAATGGCTGACTGCCATTCACGGCTCTGGACTCACGAATTCTTAGAAGATTAGATTCTATAGCGAAGCTCTAATCCTTCTAGTCGATCCGCAAACAATATGGCGTATTTGCGGGCGCTGTTGGGTCTCTCAGCACAACGATTTTGTGTTTACACTTTATTGTTGCTGGTGAGCTTAGTCGTCGTGTCTGTAGGTCAGTTTCAGTGCTAGTATGTATATGTAATGTAACAATGAACCATTAATATATTGGCGATACATTTATCATTGCAATAAACAAACATTCAGGGTTGCTTAGATCACATAGAGACTGGCAAAGATTTGAAACTACCGGGAGAAAAAAATCATAGTCTTTTTTATGTGAGTTAATTCACACTGCGATTACAGCGTGAGGCATTAATAGAGAAAATTACATACCATTGTAACAAAACTAATAATTCAAATGGCTTGTTATACGTGACAGTGATAATATAGGCAAAAATCAAATGTCGATCCGGATCTGCTTGGATGAAACAAATGTGGTTTCGCGCCATTGTATGGGACATTCTCCTTTTATGTAGTATATATATATATATATATAGCCTCTTAGCACTTTCTTTGGTATTTACGTCTCATTAGCCTAGAAATAAAGTTGCTTGCAATAGCATATTATACTATTGTTCTTGCATAATATTGTTGTTATGGGTAGGCTAAAAGAACTTCTCAATATGCAACTCTTACGCGATGACACAGCCCACTTGAAGCCCACACAGGGTTAGATATAGCAGTATTTATTAACTGGCTGATGTTTGATACACCTCGTACTTTGCATTAGTGGCCTACCTACTGGAGGCGGCCGTTGTACATGCCGATTTTATTGCCACAGTTTTGATCAGAACCAGATACGTTAGCGCATTTCCCTCGGGAGGAAGCAATTCCAATGAGCCTGAAGCTTCAATAAGCTTTACTGAGGACTCAAGAGACTTTTTGCGATAGGGCACCAAGAGAGCCCAAGAAGATCTGTTCGGCCTGGTGCAGTTACAAGAAATGCCGCGGAAGTATGGTTGCGCACGTTACCATCTCATTTTCTTACTACGCTCTTCCCCGATGGCGACTCTGTACGAATTAGTGTGAGTCTGCGCCTCGGGGCTTCATTAGTTGGAGCGCATTCGTGTAGTGGGTGTCGAAAGCCTGTACCTCCTAAAGGTAACTACGGTTTTCGATGTTCTTCTCGCAGCGGAGGTCGACAGCTATTTCTTGTATTGATCAATGGCTGACGAGTGATGTTTTTCACTGGGATACAAATGCTTTTGCGGTAAAAACCATAGACCCGTAAATGGAACGTGGTGCAATAGTGTAGCGCCGCTAATATATATTTGGTATCGTTAGCCGGATGTGAACGAGACAGGTCGTACCGAACTAGCAATAAAAATTTCTGACTGCATGCATAACTTTAAAGAGCCGATGCGGCACGGAAAGCGTCCGTCGCTGTTTTTCTACTATTCTATCAACAACGGGATGTGTGCAACGGAAACGATTGCCGCTGGCAACGTGTTACCGGATTTAATTATTTCGTTGCATGTTGATGTAAAAAATTTTGTCGTAAGCATCGACACTAAAAATAACACTATATACATTCTGCTAATAATACACTCTGTACATTCTCGTGGAAAAATTGCGAAATTATGCTCTACATACTTGGAAGACGTTATATGTTTTTGATACCCAAGCATGACGCCGGTATAGGTGCGCTAACTGTTGCTAACATCGATAGTTTCCCACATACCTTTTTGAGGGACAAAACAGCTTTGGCGGCTTTACAGGAGACGACTTTATCGGAGTCGTAAGTCTAACATTCAAGGCTTCACGCTTCTCGACAGCTCGGATTGGCTTTATGCTATTTACAGGATCAACCGCTATTGTGGCGAATGGCAAGAGAACGTTGGGCTTGATCCGTAAAAATCATCAAGATCTGCTCAAGGTTTGTCGAACGGATGATCGCAAAACTAGACTATGCAAACATCGGCAACGTTTTGTCCGTAGTCACGCGTACTACTCTGTCGATGACGTTGTTCACGAAAGCCGAGGGAACTATCGTCTACTTATTATCGACGTTAAAAGGGGTAGAGAGGCCGTCGTAATGTAACGCACACCGATTAAGCCTTTAGAGATTGACCCTAAAGATAGATAAGATGGCATACTTTTCAGTAACTTCTTGAGCATGTAGATATTCTAAAGGCCACCTTAGTTTATAGTTAAATGTGATCAAGGTCGCCAAAATAGTAGTGTTGCTATAATAAGGGAAGGTGGCCACCAGAAGTGCCCTAAAGGACGTATACAGATGGCAGCATACGTCGATGGCAGAGGACGCTCTAATTATTAGCTTTGAACGTGTCTGTGTAAAGAAATTTACAGTATACATTTATTGTGTATATTCCTTCCTAAATCAAGTTGAGTTTAGCTCATTTTTAATTACTTTGTCGTTAATCACTTGGTTTTTGTTCCACAGTCAACTAATTCTGCTAACTGTTCTATGTGTAACCAGGTAAAAGTTTCACAATTTCTGTTGTGAAGTGTGACATTCCTGCGTTAAAAACATGGCAACTGGAACTGTGCACAAAAAGATTCATTTGGGCTGAACAAATGATTTGACGAAATTGGGCTGCGCCTACGCAGAAGCTGCACGACAGATGTAAACTTACAAAATAAACATCACAAATATCGGATCAAATAATTCTGAAAATTTATTTTAGGGTTTATGTGAAATGAACCTTAAAGCAGACAAAACATTCGTGCGTTAAAAAGGAGGACTATAGAAAGGTTAAATAAAGATGACGGGTCTTCTAATTGTAAGTAACGTCCTCCTGTTTTAAAGAAGTGTATCTTTGTATTCTGTTACTTCTGACATAACTAATTTAGCAATTACGTTAGTATAGATTTAACTGTTTAAAGTGACTGTATGTCTATCATGCAGCTGT